CACAGTGAATTAGCAGCTGATCTAGCAATCGATTCAATGTAGTCTTTCCACCTCATGTCAGCTGAGAATGTTAGCCTGAGAAGGTGCAATGAATCACTTTCTTGGAGGATAACATCAGCCAGTGAGGGGTGTCTCTCAGATGATTAATGGAGAGAAGTATACTTTTGAAGGCATTAAAATTGACAAGCCATCTTTTGCCCCAGTTAATGATGGTATTAAGTTTGTTTTGCATATCAACTGCTATTTTGACCTTGTTCGACTGATAAGCCTCACTATCAATGCTGGAGTAAATATTAGTGTCATCAGTGTAGATGCCAAGTGGAGGGCTAATGATATCATGAAGATTGTTAATGAAGATTAAAAACAGTGTAAGACCCAGGATGGAGCCCCGGGGAACACCAGTGTTAGTGTGAAAGGATGTAGATGAGTGGCCATTCAGGACAACTTTCATTTCACGATTAGATAGGAAGGACTGGATCAGCTCAAAAATATGCCCAGAGATACTGTAGTTTTTCAGCTTGTGGAGAATACCTGAATACCTGGCTTTCAAGGTGTCTAGTGCTACAGCCCAGGCTTCAGTTTTTATCAAGAGTGTGATAGACTATTTCTGCAATTGTTGTTAGTACATCAGCAGTTGATCTGGAGAAATGGAAGACGTATTGCTTGTTTGAGAAAAGGCCCTGTGATGAGAGTTGACGAACCAATTCAGCATTGATTAAAGCCTCAAAGAGTTTCTCAAAGACAGGCAGAAGGTTAATTGGCCGATAGTTGGATGGGTCAGACGGTTCACCAGAGTTCTTAAAAACTGGAACAACAGACAATAGCTTCCAGCAAGCAGAAAAGCAGGAAGCAGTGAGGCACTTATTATACAGTTTAGAGAGAACAGGAACCAGTCTGGGAGCACACTTAATGATCATTACAGTGATGACATTGGGTCCACATGCTTTGTGGGGGATCAAGGTTAGAGATGATAGCAGAAACCATGGAAGGGGTTATATACATATCACTCAATAGAGAATAAGTTCTAAGTCGAAAATTAGGCAGGGCATGTCTGAAGCTGGTTTTAGTCATACAAATGCAATTCTAATTAAGCAGACAGTGAAACAGGAAGAGCGACATGATTTACAACAAAGCTGTTTCTTGTCAAACACATTCTTCCCATTAATGACATCAACCAATTCAATAAAATGGTATATTAATTTTATTTTTATTTTTAATCTGCTTATTAATACCTATATTATTCAAACAAACATCCAGTAAAGAAATAGAATTGAAAAAGGAATGACAAAATCATCATCGTGTCTCCTTGAATCCTGTTCTTTTATTATTCTCACTCCTCAATAACAATTTTTCCGTTTCTATCACTCTCAGTAACCACTTGCAGCTTAGTGGCTTTGTTACCTTGCTTAAGGTGAAATGATTCAAAATAAAAAAAAAAATGAAAATACTAAAATGAATCTTACTGAGAAACAATAATGAACAAAAAAGGGGGCAACAGAATATCTAGCCTTAAATAAAATTATATATGATGATGAGAGAAATTATATATGATTAGATATCACGATATATATATATATATATACATATAAATAAATAAATAATATAAATAAAATAAAGATATATATATAAATAAAATAAATAAATAATATAAATAAATAAAGATATATATATATAAATTATATATGATGATGAAATTATATATTATGAGAGAAATTATATATGATGATGAGAGAAAGTGGAAAATTTATTAATAATGTTTTGCTGAGAGTATTCTAACCTGAGGAAGCCAAAGAGAACAGACACTCTTGATGAAACACATCATTAATAAATTTTCTGCTTTCTCTCATCATCATCACTTTTGTTTTCGATACTATTATAAATTCTACCAACACACATATACTCGGTCGAGTTATCTCAGACATTCAGGAGTCTATCATACTACCACCACCCGTCACTCTCCTGTATCAAGGTCATAAGGTCATTAGGGAGGCATTCTGTGTTATTACATTGCTGGTCAATGTAGGTGGTTGCTGGGTGACCAACTTGTCTTGCTCCAAGGTTATGTGTCCAGAACAATAATCATTAGTGAGTTCTGGTTTTTACTTGCCAGCAGTGTCCAGCAGTGTCCTGCAAAGCATATTCTATGTTTGCATAAGATTATAGAAATATCAGGGACAGGTCCACAGAGCTGTGATTTAGTTGAATGTTGTTGCTAGATGTTAAACCCTGGAGTCTAAGCTTGATAGAACCTACATACAGATGCTGAGAGCCACACATACACGTTTTAAATTCAAAATCATGTCTAGTATGTGCTCGATACCATCGGAAACAGTCGAGCCTCAGCAAAGGAGCAGAAACATGCTTGACAATACTGAGCCCTCAAAGTCCCCCATATCATAGCACATAATTTAAATAAAATATAAAGTAAACAACTTCTAAGGGAGTATGCTACAAAGGTACACTAGAGAAAAAGAGCTCAATGCCATATTAAATATTTAATTTACGATTTAATTAAGCCAATGACCTACAATGACCAGCAATGTCCCTCATGAATTTAAGCAAACTACCAGATTGACAACTCGGTCTCAACAATTTACTATTGAAATGTAACCCTAAATTCTATTCTAATAGTTTCTTTTCTCACACTTCTTACCTGTAGAAATATCTTCCGGTTTCTTGCTTCTCTGCCACCTACGATCTTTAAAAATTTAAATGCAACACCAATCAGCAGTTTCCATCTTCCTAGATCTTGTTCATTTATTCTTCTTTCTCTTCACTAAAATCTCTTTTACTCTCAGTAACCCCTGGCATCTTAGTGGTGTTATTGCCTTGCATGCAGTGAAATGATAAAAAAAAAAAAAAAAAAAACAACACAGAACCACCTGAGGCATCTATATAGACTGCATCAGTAATAACACAATGCAAGATACCATTAAACATGAAACAGGCCTGTTGGAAAAACTCATATCCATCTTGAAGAGAAAACTGAAATGGGATGTACACATCATAAGAAACAAGTATCTTCCCACTAACATACTACAAGGTACCACCAGAGGTAAAAGAAGAGGTATATAAAGAGAAGAATGGACTGACAATGCCACTAAGTGAACTGGAAGATCATTCACAGAAACTCTGATATTGGCATGCAACCAAGACATATGGAGGGAGCTGGTCAGGTGCTCAGTAACCCTACAACCACACCTAGTGAAAGGACTGATGATTAACATATTGACAATTGCAAATGCTACACGAATCTTCATTTATTCTGACAAGGTATTATTCAGGGTTAAAAAAAAGAAATAGACAATGATTTTATTGCAAAGATCATATTTTTTATCATTGTTCGATTACCAGTGTATGAAACTGAGAAAAACATTTTAATATTACTACATCTTCAGAAATCTTTTACATTACCATTAAAAACTTATGACAGAACACGCTGCATGTTTTGGGGAAAGATTTTTGATTACACTCTAATGAGGTACTTTGAAAGAAGGAAGAAATACCTTAGTTTCTGCTACTTTCTAAGGACCATATTAGACATTATTAATACATCCTTGATGCGCTAACACCATGTAAGAAATCCTATTAATGAGGTACTTTGAAAGAAATATCTTGGTTTTCTCTAATCTCCAAGGTCAACATTAAGCAAATGAAGAAAAGCCATGCATCCTAAATTAAGAACATAAAACATCACCTGGTCTGGCTGTGTCCCTCTTAAGTCTATTACAAGTAAAGGTAATATTATCTATTTCCTTATATGGAAACATACTAGCACAATGCAAAGGACAAAAATAACTCAAAGAAATTAATTTCAAAAATAAGTTTTTCCTGAAAACATTTTATCTGTAGCACTATAATATATATATATATATATCTCACACTTTGTCCCACAGAGAGAAGTTATAACATATATGAAAAAAGCAAGCAATATCTGAAAGGACAAATATAATTAAAAATGGCTTTGAGTGTTTGAATCCTGTAGGTCTTACAGAGAACCAACTTTCATCAAATCTCATGGACTGGCACAATAGAATCACAAAGAACTTTACCAAATAGCAGAAACCACATCACTTGTGGATTTTCAACAACAACAACGATTAAAATGGATAGCACATATAACTCAATATTCAATGTGATATGGTCATAAGTAGAGTTACAGAGGCGTTTAAAGAAGTTAGACAGAAACTTGTACCAAGTACAATAGTGGAGTTGAAGTTAGTCAAATAATCAGCTTAATGAGCTTCAAATGAATTATTTACTCATTTTGGTATAGAATAAGATAAAATAATGACATAATTAAGATGTTGACTTTCAACCAAAAGGTTAGAAAGAAAGCCTCTATCAATAGTGAAAAAGAGCAATAACATTGGGGCTGGGAAACTTATTTTCCTGAAAAACCTGTTTTAACTGAAAGATTTTATAAATTTCAACTGGCTTTTTGATCAATAAATTCCAAATGTTTCCATATAAGGAAATGGACAATATTACCTTTACTTGTAATAGACTTAAGAGGGACACAGCCAGACCAGGTGATGTTTTATGTTCTTAATTTAGGATGCATGGATTCTTTTAACTGCTGTTGTCTATGTGGAGATCTAAGCAGGAATTGGCTACCACCTGTCTTCAGCAGAACCTAATCAGCAACTGATTATTACCAATTCATATTGTCATTTGACCCTCAAGGCCTATGAGAACTTTAGTAAATTCATCCTGTAAAAAGGGAGATAATCGCCTTCAGTATCCCTATATGTCTAGAATTATTATAAATTAAAGTAGCTTTGTTTTATCAATACTACTAAAATGGAGTCCCTATCATACAGCAATGGTTAATGAGTTTGAACCTCATTAAGTAACATACTGTGATCTTATTCTATACCAAAATGAGTAAATAACTCATTTGAAGCTCATTAAACTGATTATTTGACTAACTTCAACCCCACTATTGTACTTGGTACAAGGTTCTGTTCGACTTCTTTAAACGCCTCTGCAACTCTACTTATGACCATATCACATTGAAAAACTAGTTCTCATACGATCACCAAAGTTAAGCAATATCAAGCCTGGTCTGTTCCCTGATGGGTGACCACTTGAGAATACCAGGTGCTGTAAGTTTGGATATGCAGCTCAGAATTGGATCTCTGAGAGCTAAGTTCCAATTCCAGTTGGGTTCATTATATTCACTTACATGAAAATACCCTTGGTAAAAGGTATGAATCCATCTCTTGTCCCCCAGCTATGGGTTAATTAGTAACACTTTTATCAGTAAATCATTATCATCTTCCCAAAATTCTTACAATTTAAAAATATTTTCAGGCTTTAAATAACCTGCAAAAAGTTGACAAACCATAAAAAAAAACAAAGACAAATCAATCCTCTGCAGCCTCAAGTGATGCTATTGTGGTTTCCGTAGCAAGTAAGTTTTTTTTAAAGGGTGGAGTTGTCAGTGCCACACCCACCCAGATTTTAATTCAGAGTTGTCCTTCTCATATACTGGTTGCCACTCAAGGCTAGAGAGCCCAGTCTGCATTGTTACCTAAACTTAACCTCTCTGGGAGGAGAAGTGATGGATTCGTATTTTTCTCAACGTCATGAATTCGGCCGCAATTTGAACCTGACTGTTTTCGAGTCGTTAATCATTGCTCTTCTTACCCGTATGATGAAGAACTTTTAAATATTTTGATGACGGAGAAAGAAAAAATAAATATACTTAAAATTTTTTTTTTGAAATCCTCTTTTTAGTCTTTTATGTACACGAGAAAATAAATAGAAAAATAAAAATAAAAAAATGCTATAAATATTTTTTTTTTTTTTTTTTTTTTTTTTACAGTGACATATATAGGCCGAAGTTAAACACGCTTTTTGTCTTGCTTAAACGAGTGTTTGTGTTCATTTCACGAAGAAACAAAAAAATCCATTTTTTATTTTTAATTGCTAATGTAGCGACCAAAACCAACATTATCGCAAAATAAATAATTCTGTCGTATATTGATTTACATTCACATTTATACTCAAAACATGTTATATAATAATCGGTACACACTTTTCTTTAATAATGGTTAATTTTATCCCAGAAATCAAAGTTTTTAAAAGTTAAAGACTTACTCTCAATATGAGGCATGATAAAAAACATATACCTCGCGTGAAAAAAAAAAAAAAAAAAAAAAAATGACATGTCAGCTACCTATAATGAGGCAATAACGAGTGAAAATATCCACACCGGTTAGCAATTAAGAAAATTAATAAGAATAATAAAGAAAAATAAAATAAAAACATTTTTAATAGGTTGTATTTAAATAAAATTAAAAAAATTAGATCGCATAAAAAAATAATTTTGTAAATCTTTTTTTTTTTTTGTTTTAATTCACATTCATTAACTTTAGTTTCTAAAAAAGGGAATTTTTTTTATGATGTTCATCTGAAAGAATGTTTTTAAAATAACATTGTTATTGTTAATTATTCATAACAATAATAAAAATTATCTTCTGAGGATAAATCTGTTTTTTCACGCTTAAAATTAAAATACCTTCTTCAACGTTTACTTATTTTTTTTTTTTTTTTCATTATGGCTCTTTTTCTCTTTATTGATGAATTCAAACAGAGGAAGGGACAGGTACCCCTTTTTATTTATATTTATTTATAGACTAGTTTTTTTTTCTTTAGTTTTTAGATTCATTATTTTTTTTATTTTTGAAGTGATTTTTACAATTAATCAATTGATTAAAAGACCTGGATCTTCTTCCAAGTAACACTTCGGAAAATAACTATTTTTACAAAAGATTTTCTTTCTTTAATTACTGAGAGAACCCATTTAATATTACAATGAATATTGAATAGAAAAACAAGTTTGACCAGGTAGCCAACATCAATACACACACAGGGTTGTAAATTGTAATTATTATTATTAAAAAAAAAAAAAAAAAAAACATCGTTCATGTTCAGTTTTATGAAATTAATTAGTTTAAGTTGAAAAAAGATATAAAAGAAGCAAAACTCAACAAAAAGTTAAGATTTTTTCAGGTTTTCTTAAAAAAAAAAAAAAAAAAAGTAAAAAACTTAAAAAAAGAGATCAGATCATCATAACGTTGAATTTTTCAAAACAAAAATAATGTCGTTTTTTTTTTGTTGTTTATTTTTGCACATTAAAACTAGTTAATTATGAATTAAATAAAAAATAAGATATTTTCAAAAATATACACTACTAAAAGAAAAACTAAAATTCTAACAAAATTTACGTTTGGATTTCATTTATTTATGACACTTATTTTTTTTTTATGTACACAACCGTGACAACCAATATTTTAAAAGACAATGGTTTTAAAAATTATTTTAAAATTATTATTTCTAATTAGAAAACATTTAAAAATAAAAAATAAAAAAAATGAGGTATACAGATAAGTATTTAAATTTTAAATTTGAATAAATTGTATTATTTTATTTTGACAATAGCCGTTAATTCACGTTTTTTATTTTAACTAATCCCCATATAAACACAAGAAAAAGAGGCGTGTATTTTAAAAGAAATATATAAGAAAACTACAAAAAATGGTTTAAATAGCACCTGAAAACATACTAATAAATTACTTATTGATAATATTTACTTTTTATATTAATATACGGTAGTTTGGGATGATGTGATAAGTACACTTTAGTTTTCTTTTTAATGCGTGTGTGTACATGTGAATTAAAAAAAAATAAAAACGTGGAGACCGACGGGGAAACGAAAGAAATCCCATAAAACTCTGACAAATATTAAAACCACACCTGAAATAGCTAAATTTGAATAAATCAAAACCTCAAAACATGTTTTAAAGGTAAAAAACTGGTAATGCTTACTTGTGCGTGAAGGAGAATCAACATTTTCTTAACATTACACGTCTGCTATCGTTACGTGTCAAGCTCAGACGTCAACTGCAGTCAACCATGTTTGAAAACAATTTTCCTTCTAACTTCCTGTTCCTTTTTGCTGACGTTTGTCAATGTGAAAGTATGGAAGCAGAGAAGCATCAATTCGAGGGCGCTCTTGTCTTTGTTTCCCCCCTTTTTATTTTTGTAAAGAAAACGTACTTTCTTTTAAAAAGTTATTTTTACCAGAGAGTGAAAAATTCTTAGCCCAATGTACTTCCCCAAGATCAAATATCAGGTTGATTTTTAAATCTCTTAGTTCTTGGTCATCTTGAAAAATATTTTACTCTTTTAATGTAACATTGAGGAGGGTTTATTAAATGAATAGTACACACACAAACTAACATAAGTGTGCGTGTTTGACACCTAGATGTGATGTACTGCACTGTAATGGTTAGCAAGTCTCGCTTAAACAGTTACAACTGAGAAGAAAATTCGATCCTCACTAGATGCCCCATACCTTCGGCCTTGTGCCACATCTAAACTACTCTTAGCAAATCACCATAACTGTGCGTGTTTGTGTGTGCTTGAACGCGCGCATGCCTATAATACATGATTGCCGAAAAAAAAAACATATAAGATTATGGAACGTGTGAAACACAATTGGATGTTTAAAATTTTAATTTCGTTGTTGTCGTTTAGGAAAAAATCTATGTAGCCACGTCTTTGAAGAGCTTGGAACAGTCGCATCTCTGCCCCCTGAAAAAGATAAAATCTGTAGGTTTTTATAAGAATTTTTTTCTTGAAAGTAAGCTCGAGAAAAATAGGGTCTTTTTAGTTTTCTCTGATTTTACATGGTGATGTTAATTTCTAATCAACAGTGATATTTATTTAAAACGGTGTGGGTTGCTTTGGGAAATTTTGGGGTCATGTTTGTAATATTGTCTGTTATTGGGTAGAAAATAAAGTTTGGGTGTGTTTTATGGTATGTATGTGGGTATGTAATTGGGTTGGAAATAAAATTTATTATTACTGATATGTTTCGCTTCGTACGAGCATTTTCAAAACAACTGAAGAAAAATCTAAGGAAAAAACTGTTACCTTCAACATCAACGTAATCATCACTTTAGTCCACTATGAAAAATATCACAGGAAAAATCTTACCTCTTTGTCATAAATTTTCCAAATATATACAGTGTAACCCGGATATAAGAGAGTTGTCGGGACCGGAGAAAAAGTCTCTTATACCCGGGTTTCTCTTATATCCGGGTCTCATATCCGGGTCTCTTATATCCGGGTTACATTGTATATTAAATTTCATATATATATATATATATATATATATATATATATATATATAGTGGACTACTCCGTCGTATTCGACGTATGAGGGTGAAGCAGCTCAGTTCCCAGGAAGCAACAGCCAGACACCAGCACATATGATTTGATTATAATGGTGAAGGCTTTGTGCAGAACCAACCACACTTTTTGAAGGGCCGAATACAGGGACCTGGTGCACTAACGACCCTCCACAGTTTTTGAATTCAGAGTTGTACTTCTCCTAGACCAGTTGCCATACAAGGCTATAGAACCCAGTCTATCCTGCTATTTACCCATAGCTGGAAGTAGAAGAGGATTATTACCTTTCCCAAGAGTATTATCACGTAAGAGAATGTAATGGATTCAACTAGAACACACACACACACACACACACACACACACACACACACACACACACACACACACACACACACACACACACACACATATATATATATGTATATATATATATATATATTACACAGACCCACACACGTACATAAATTTATTGTTAACTGTGGAGTTATCCCACTTACTTTCCTAAAAAAAACCGCTAGAGGACGCTCCCTAAGCCTATGAATATGAAGTGACATTCTCTGTCATCCTCTTTTTCCTTTTTCACTTGGCGACGGTAATATGTAGGTCGAACGAGGGAAACGCTTGCCCACTGGGAAACGCACTGTTTCTTTTAGGCTCAACAGATACAGGGTGAAATAATTCCAAAAGCGATTTGCTAGCGTTTTCACTTTTCAAAGATGTTAACATGCACAAAACTAAGAAAACTGCATGTACGATTTAATAATACACGGAGATAGCTGCGTCTCCGATAAAAATCGATAATAATATCAGATATCTTAAACTTCTCGCAAACATATATTCGAATCGCGGTAGCAATTTCATCAACATCAACAACTTTACAAATCGATGCTTCTTCTATTAAAATTTCG